TGTATTTTTGGGAGCAACAATTCTCTGGAATGATTCCCTCCACCTCCAGGAAAAGTTAAACAGTTAGGGGGAGGGTTCTTGGGCCAACCACTTAATGTTTGTCCCATTTGATTTAATACAATTCCATTGATACTTGGAACCTGGCAGCCAGGCCAAAAGAAATTTCTGTGAAATTTGTCAGGATGACCTCAGGGTTTTTATTATTATTATTATTTATCTTTGGCAAAATAGACAAAATAGCATACACCGTTGTTTCTCCACTTTATGGAAATGGAAGGAGAGAGAAAAATCTTCATGCCTGCAAAAATGCTGAATCCATTTCAGATTGATATCCCACTCAGAGCAATGGATAGTCTGTCCCAATAGCATTTGAAACAGTTCTCACTGTAAGTGAAATTTGCTTGCTTTTTCCTTGGCATGAGCTTGGCAGAACTCCACCTACCATTATCACTTTCTTTATGTATTTGTAATGAGATTTTTGGCTTTATAATGTTCATGTTAATATTATCAAAGTAGGAATGCAATTAAAATTAAATTTATTATGAATGCATTCCTAGAAAAACCAAAGAGCTAAACAAAGGTAAGCTCAACAGGACTGTCAAAATATGATTTATTCCTGTCAATTTTCAAGACAGGTGAACTTGTCACGGGAGACCCCAGAGCTACCCCAGAGGAAGTCCTACAGTTAGGAGTAAACTATTTCAGCTGAGAATGGGATGGCATTTCAATCAGCGTTTGACTCTAAAACCAGGGAGGGCCCCCCCTGAAATCAATGAACAAAATTATTATTTAGTCATGCCCGCCTATTATTTAGGATTTTAAAAAGAAAGAGCAGCCCCTTGTATTTGGTCTGGAAACAGCCTGGTAACCAGGGAAGGTCACTTAGAATGGACAACCAAATTCAAACTGCTGCATTCTGTCCTGGGGAAGTTTCTGCTAGAGGTATCCGGCATATAACATATATAATTACAGAGATTCACCTGAAAGATTACCAAAACATACAAGACAGTGGCAAGGAACCTGATCTTTAGACTATCCCATAAAGAATTATCCCAAAGCATTCTTCAGTGCATGAACAAATAGGGCACTAGATGGGGGTCGCATAAGTAGATGAAATGACAATCGCCTAAACATTATTGACAGAAAAAGTCCAAGACTTTTATTTTGATATAACTACTTTTAAAACAACTAGAGTAATAGAAAGGCCATTTTTTCTTTTGCTGTATGAATGCTTTTCTAAAAACCAAGTGTGCAATTAGTCAAACACAGGCAACATAACCTTTTCACATATCAAATAATAATCATTTATCCCTTCTTCTGACTTATCCACACATATACAAGGAGAATGCAATTATTGGCCATTATTTATTAAATAAATAAGGAATGCATAAATAATTTAATAGATTCACAGGGAATTATAAAAATCAGAGGTTGCCACCTGAATTGAAAGGAGACACTTAAGTCTGTATTCTGCAATTATTTCAATTAGTCATCATGTGTGTTTTGTAAAATGTACTGTTACAATATTTTTTTGCTACTTTTCCCTCCTAAGAAAACGCTGCACAGTCCAGCAAGCTGTTGGCACTATGAATGAAACTCAGGAGTCTTAATTAGCTGTAATAGAGAAGTGACAATGGTAAGAAAACAGGAATTTGTAAATGCTTAGTTATAAGCACAATGTGGTAAGTAATGAATATAAGTTATGAGTGTTTTTATTATCACCATTTTAAATCTAGCCAATAGACTAAGTTTTCAAGGGAGATATACAAATTACAAATATAAATTGTAAAGTTGGAACGTATGTTTCAACAATTCTTCTATCCAGATGGAAAACTATTTAATGTTCATTGGAATCAATCAGATATAGGTTAGGGTGGTTCCCCCCCCCCAAATAATAATAATAGTAGACATCTACATGTCTACTACAATAAGTTAAGGATTTGTAAGTTTCACTGAAGATCACAGGATTGCCAAGAAGCACTGAACTCTGAATTAATTTTGTGCACCTTATGTGCTTCACATTAGTCTAGTACCAGTGAGATGATAGCACAATGTTTGGTCTGCATTCTCCTAGAGTAATATATTCTCTGCCTAGAAATTAGATATCAGGGAAAAAAGAGTAGCCTTGACACACCTCTTCTACCTTAGAACTGGGCCATTCAAACAGACGCCATCTTGTTGATCTGCTTTACACTGTTGTAATGACAAAGCTGTTTGTGATTGTAAGCAACTTGGGGTTTCAAAAAATGAAACATTTTCTTAGCAAGTAACTGCCTTATTGGTCACTTCTTTTGTTTATGCTGATATGCAATCATTCTATAAAACAGTACCAGGCACAAAGAATGCAAATCATTGCTAAATTTTAAAAGCCGAGATGAGGGAAACCAATTTCTCTGATTGTCTAGTTCTATAGGTCACATACTGAAGAAAAAAAAAAGTAAAATAACCCATCATTCAACTTTGTGTCTTCACTACATTACCTGTGGCAAGAACTGGATGTCACAAGTCACAATCTGTAGGTAGCACTTTTCCTTCACTCTGGGGAGATTGACTCCAAGCACCAAATTAACCAGAAGGACTGTTCATACTATAGCTAAGATCTTAAGAACTGTGATTCAACTAACAGTTGAATCTCAGCTTTATACAAAAGAAAAGATATGTCAGAGACTCGTTTTGTTCCCCTCAATGTACTAAATGACAAAACACTAAATGCATTTACAGTATTTCTGACCCAGAAACATCATGTTTAAGCGATATTAGTTTTCTAAAATATTAGCTTTAGGGAGAAACACTCGTAGGTCTTGTCTACAGTTCATAGAAAGAGTTCTCCAGGAAATAAGATGGGCACAGTCACCCCAGCATTGCATATGCCATTATCCTAAAACAAGTACAGGGTAATTACATTTTTGGAAAGAGAATCTGGATTGGAACCATGTCCCATAAACTGACTCCATTAGAAAAGCTAAAAGGAACAAAATGTATGGGTCTCAAAGAGTCATAAAGTTTACTTTTAGCTTGGAATCATTTGAAAACTATGTCCTGTGATCCTACCATCAGCTCTGTAATCTCTATACCCCCAACACCCCCGCCTTTAAAAATAACACATAAATGACTCTTAAAAACAATAGTGGCTCATTCTAGAGGAATGCGGTGGCTCAGAGAATTATCCCCATCTCTCCTGCCTGCTTCAGGAAGATGGCAGTGTTGCTCTGGGATTCCTGGGTTACAGATCAAGCCTTCTCCTTTTCAGTGAATGGCTCTGTACCATTAGCATAAGACAGTCTACTAATGGATTGTGAGGAATGAGTTATTCTCATGAAATGTAAGATCACATTGATAGAGAAACCACAGCAAAGCACTGATCCCAAATCATGGAGAACCGAGCCAGGCAAAGCCTCTTATATTTGTACACAGTTCTCTGGAGTTTTTAAGCAGCTGCCAATTTTCTATTTTCTAAGCAAACATTGCAACTGACCACCCAGCTGTCTCACACGTCCTGATAGTACATGAGTGCATTAGCATCAGGAATCTTCTGATCTCCTTGTTATCTCTGATGTAGAAGAGATCAAACTCATCTGCCACCATCTCCCTTTCCCAAATCGAGTGGGTGACATTCTGGAATGAGCTGCACCATACAAATGCAGAATGTGAGTGTTCTGTGCATTCACTGGTCACACAGAAGAGACAACCTTGGGTGGCAAGAGCAGAATGCTTTCAAAAGTGGTAATAGTTTTCATCACAGCCAATAAAAACAAAATATCAAGACAAGTGTCTGCAGAAGAATCTTCCTTTCTCCTGTACGCTATGGTACATCACCCACTCCAAATTACCATGGTGCTATTTACAGATGCTACTACTCAATCAAAGGACGGTCTCTGGTCCTTGTTCAGCATCACTCACCTTTGTTCCTGTTGCAGGTCCACAAAGAAGAAGCCCTGAATGGGAAGCCCTGAATTCAACCCTCTGTGGAGATCTGGTACATGTTTTTTGGAGCAAAGCTTCAGAAAATGGCAATCAGTCGCTTGGCTCTAGCTTTATTTCTCTGGTGATGTCATTTTAAATATTTTGCATGTTCCATTTGTTATTTGTACTTCTAAAAAAATAATGCCTTTCTGCAATTCATGTTTGTCCAATTAGTCACAACTCTAAAGGAAGAAAGCTGGCTGCCTAGATGTTGGAATAAAGCATTAAGGCCGGCATACACAGGACAGCACCTGACTTGAACAGATGGGAGGAGATACTCTTATTGTAGCAACCAGCCTTATAGATTTCTGATCCAGTTCTCTCTCTCTCTCTCTCTCTCTCTCTCTCTCTCTCTCTCTCTCTCTCTCTCTCTCACACACACACACACACACACACACACACACACACACACACACACAAATTCTCCTACATTAGGAGAGTTCAGAATGATAGCTGATTTCTTTTTTTAGGAAGCTACATTATCGGCACAAATTGTAAGCAGTGAGAGAACAGAAAGAAAGGGATCAGATAAAAAGGACAGACAGAAATGCATTCTTCATCTACTGAACAGCCTCTGTGATAGCGAGCCCATGACAGATTTACAACTCCTTGGTTATTTTATTTGCATGCTGCTTAATGAGAAACAGCCTCTAGCTGAGGTTCACTAAAAAGGAAAGTTTTAGGAGAAAAATTCTTGCTGGGTTAGCCCTACCTGATCTGAATTTGCTCCGAATCAGCATAGAATGCTCAGACCCCAGAAGTGTCATGGTGAAGCCTTGTGAAAATTCCCAGGGTCAGAAAGCCCCTCGGTTCAAATCATAAACTGGCACCAAGAAGAGAAGCTGACCACAACCAAAGGATCACAATTCATCTAGACCTCCTTGGAGTATAGGTGACTGCAGAAAGCAGCAGAAGAGTTTGGGAAGTTTGGTCTCATCCAGCACTAACCCGCCACGGAAACCTACTGCATGCCTTTGCACTGTGTTGGGCTAGTTAACTTCAGCAAGCAGACCCCTCCTTTCTATCCACCCCCTCCCCTCCTTTCTCAAAGTTTACTATCAGCAACATCACCGGGTGTCCTGACTGATGTCATAGTCTAGCAGGGAGCAGACTATCCCTAAAGGGTCCTTAGGAAAGACAGAAGTTTGATATCTGATCCGCTATTACTACCAACAGGAACTTGGCCAATCAAGGCGCTCCCTCCCTCTGACTGCAGGGGTTCAAAGCAACTCTGAAATATCAACAAGACTCCTGCTTAACTCTTGCTGAGCTGTTGCAACCAAGAATTCAAAAAAGAAGACCGGCATAGGGACAAGGCTTTTACCAGGGAGTTTAATAGCTAGAGATAGATATAGAGATTTGTAACTGGCAGTGAGGCTCTGTTATTCTAGTACTACACAATAATGGTATCAATAAATTAACTGATATCACAGAAATAATGGTCAAAACTCACCAAAGCCAGATTTTATGTGCAGATATGGCTTTATACCATCAATATTGAAAACACAGGTTCTGGGTGAGTCCAGTAGTTGCAAAGTACTCACCAGTCTACCCAGTTCAAAAATATGTTTAAATTGTCTAGCCAGCTGAAAAAGACTTAAATGTAAAGGTCTATATCTATTTATCCTCTCTCTCTCTCTCTCTCTCTCTCTCTCTCTCTCCCTCCCTCCCTCCCTCCCTCCCTCTCTCTCTCTTTCTCTCTTCATCCATCCAATGTATCCATATCCTGAAGTTCAATTAGTCTTTTTATTAGGATTTTCATGCAGTTTTACTCCTTGTTTGTTTTTAACCCATGTCTATTTTTAAATGTCTGCAGTATTTTTTTTTCAAGTTTGCTTGGTATTTCCATGTACACAGTCTTTCAGCTGAATTCCTGCGATACAATTTACATACTTTTACCTGTATAATGATTCAATCACAGATACTTCATGTACTAGGAATATGTACTGCAAGGGGTCGGGGCGCAAAGAACTCTACCATAATCTTCTTCAACCCTTATGGCAATGACATCTCAGAAGAATGGTTGGAGAATACCACATTAATTGTCCTACCCACCTGACCAATGTCTCTTTATAGCAATAGATGCAGAAAAAATGAGAGCCAACACCAAGGGTAGTTCATTATGTACCCACCCAATGTTGATGTTTATGAATGGGGAATTCACAATTAAACAGTAATTTTGATCTGACTCCTCTGCCAAAATCTTTCTCAGTTCTCTTCTGATAGTTTCCCAGTGGTTATTCTCAGCCCCTGCAAATGGGCTTTTAAAGGTATCCTTCAAATATAGACCTTTGTGCTGCGTGGAGATGCAAAAAGAAAATGGCCCTGTATTTCATACCATTTTCATAGTATTCTTATGGACATGCCCTGAAGCTGAGAACATGCTTTGAAGTGGACATGGCAGCATCTTGTTGCACCTATTGGCACTTTTTTAAAAAAGTCAAAGTCATATTTTCCTGGAATTGTATGGATGCTGGGCAAGCAAAAGAAAAGATACCACTTCTTTAAAGAAGTGCTGACAGATAGAATGTGTACACCTATATCCACTGCAAAGAACCTTTGCAGCATCAGATCTGAAACATAGCTTATCTAGAGGTATTATCATTATAAATAATTACCTTCATTTTGGTAATTAATGTGCAAACTCTCATTTGTATGTTGATCTCTGCAAGTCCGAAGCTTCTGGAGTTGCAGATAAAGGATCAATACTGTAGTAGCTCTCCCGCTGCTCAGTTACTATAAGATTTGGATTATGGGCAAGCAGACTGAGATGAAGTTCTACACAAGCTTTCTAAGATAGGACACAGCCTGCTCTGAAATTCTACAACCCTATAACAATTGTAATGACAAAGCTAAACTGACTGAATTCTGGTTCACTTGATTAGATATAAAACTGCTGAAGTTACCCTTTTCTTTGAAAAGCAGAGACTTTATCTGATCTATAGGCAACACTGTTTCCCCAGTTGCTCATCTCCTATGCTTCAGGTCCCCTAACACAGGGATCCCCAACCTTTTCGACGCCGCGGCCCGGTTCCGGCGTCAGCTGGGCGCCGCGGCCCGGTTCCAGCGTCAGCTGGGCGCCGCCATCTTTTTTTGACGAAAAATCACTTCCGGTGATGTCACCGGAAGTGATTTTTCGTCAAAAAAAATGGCGGCGCCAGCGCTTCTGGTGAGCTTTTTCGGGTAGAAATGGCTTTCTACCCGGAAAAGCTCACCCGAAGCGCTGGCGCCGCCATCTTTTTTGACGAAAAATTGCTTTTTTTACCAAAAAAAGATGGCGGCGCCCAGCAACCAGCGGCCCGGTAAGGCTTGTTCCGCGGCCCGGTACCGGTCCGCGGACCGGCGGTTGGGGACCCCTGCCCTAACAGGTCTTGTAAAGAGATAGACATTCTGTTGACTTTGCAGCTCCTCTTTATAGGAACTGCTTAGAATTTTTTTGTATGTAGTCAGATCCACACAACATTAAATAGGGTGAAAAAAGGTGTGTGTGACTAATTCATATATCTGTTTTGTGCCCAGTAGGTGTTTTTGTGGGATCCATACAGTGGTGGGATTAATTTTTTTTTTTTACTACTGGTTCTGTGGGCATGGCATGGCCCAATAGGCATGGCTTGGTGCCAGGGGAAGGATACTTTAAAATCTCCATTCCCTCCCCACTCCTGGGGGAAGGTTACTGCAAAATCCCTCACCCCACTAACCTGCTTTCCAGCTCCGTTCTCCTGTACAGGGCAACAAAAGAAGACCCAGCCGATCAACTGGGACTCAGGAGCAGAGAATAGATGGGGGTGGGAGCAGTCAGAGGTGGTGTTTGCCAATTCTCCGAACTACTCAAAATTTCCGCTACCGGTTCTCCAGAACTAGTCAGAACCTGCTCTACACCACCTATGGATCCATAGCAGTGCAGTACTGTGTTATGTGGTTAGGATTGTTATTTTTGCTCTTATTCAGCACTGCAACATTGTAGAAAGAGACAGTGATCACAGATCATCTTCAAAGTGGGTTTGAGGAACAGGGGGATGTGAATGACATCATTATCCTCAAGATGTTCAAGTGATGAGGCTCTGCCCTGTCTCATGCATGGAATTTTACCAGAGGAAGGAGAATTCTGGAGAATTCCAGAGCAACATATTTCAAACCATCTCATGTTTTGTTTTCTTTATTGTCTTTTGCCACCCAAGAATCCTTTAAGAGGGAAAGATGGAAGGAGTTACACATTGCTTTTGGACTGATAGAATTATAAGTCAATTCTTTGGAAACACACTAAGATTAGATACCAGAACAAAATCATTCTAGGCACATTAGCAATCTAAGGGGATGTATGCAACTGACTACCCAGAAAATGCTTTCTCTGCTTTTTTTTTTTTTTAAGTCACTACTCAGCTGTCTGATGTTTCCATCATAATATTTATTTCTTGGTAAATAGGCTAAAAATCTTCACTTCTGATTCAGAACTGTGAGATTAGAGAATGAAAAGAGCAAGATGACATAGCTGTTTAAAAACCATGCAAAATGTTTTCTGCTTAGCATAAATATTTAATCGTTTAAAAAAATGGCAATCTGTTGTGTTTATTAAGGGAGGGATGCAACATGCGAACTAAGTGCAGGGTGGGGTAGGCTGGCTTTGCTACTACAAATTCTGTCCTTCTGGAAGATCATTGTGTGCGTTCCTTAATCTCCAGGCCAATGTAGCTTGGTGGGCTCTTTTGAAATGTCCTCATGGGAACTCTCTAGAATACACATTGAAGACCCAAAAGCTAATAGGAGGAAAGGGCAACAGTTAAAATACCAATCAGGAGGTTCCCTTTCCCCTTCTATAGTCCATATTTTATAAAGCATTTCCAGGGAAATACTCAAGTCAAACAAATGACCTATCTACCTCGAAGCTCAAACCTTATAAATGGGCATTGCTGGTCTTCTTTTCTTTCAAAGTTAATTTCCAGATCTTTTCTAGAATGAGCATCCATAAAATTCAGTTTCATTGTTTTAAAAACATAGTAACATCACCCTTGAAATTTTGATTATCTGAAAAACAATTGGCTGTTGCAAAAGGCAGCTGAGATACAGAAATATAGCTAGAGAAGCAGATATGCCTAGACAGCCAGCAGATCCAAAGCAATTAAGGTGCAATTAAGGGAAAAACAAGCATTTATTTCACTGGAAAAACAAGTCTAATACACAGTGCAAATGATCCATTATTGCTGCTGTCTTGCATTGTGCAAGGAAACAGTGATGTAATCTGTGAAACAGGCAAAGCAAATGCTGAAATCCATCTGTAACATAACCACTGTGAAGGTATGAAACCTCATAAAGAACTGAAATATATCTAAAAAAAAGTTATCTCATTAACCAGATATGGTTCTTGAAATGCCAAAGCAACAAAAGGAAATTAAATCGGCATTGAGAAAATAAGCAACTTCTCCAAAGGCAATGCAATCTTCACTTCAGTACAGCCTCAGGTAAGAGCATGAACTGATATTTGGAAAAGCTGTCTCTGAACCTACACATCAGTTGTAATGATAAAATGATGGTCATCAAGTTTGTCTCTCTAGGTCTTATAGGATGGATGGGAAATAATTAAATGATGTAAGTCACCCAGAGTCACCTATGTGTTAGTCGGCCATTTAATAAATGATAATATTGTCTGCCATATTACTTCGTCATTAACATAGGCTCTTTGTGAAGGAAAGGTAACCTCCCTCATTAAAATAGCAAAATGGAAGAAAATATGAAAGGAAGAATCAAGCTAGGAAAGGGAGAGATGCTAAATGTGCATAAGAT